CCTCCAGTCCGCATGATGGCACTGCGTCCGCGGCGGCTGCTGGCGAGGGCAGCAGCGGCGCGCGCGAGCGGCTTTCCGACACAGTGCAAATGAACAAGAACTCTCGACTCTCGAGGCGATTCCTTTCAATTTCTGTGCTGTCTTCTGCCCATGATTCTAGGGCTTTCAAAAGTCATCATGCATCGGAGGACCGCCTGGACTGCTCTCCAAGGGAACAAATGGTATGACACTGTCTCCAAACCAACAGTCCCAGTCTGAGACGCCTTGCGGTCTAGGGAGCAGTCGTAACGTTCGGGCTAGGGTCGAAATTCATGGTACTTGTTGTGGCTCTCCTGTTCCTCCAGGCTCCACCTCCATCATTCGAAGTCGTTTAGCCCACTGATCTTCCTTCATTATTTCAATATGCTGAGTACCGAGTTGGCTTCCCTCGAGATCTTCTGCAGCTGCAGAGCTCCGTGTTCTGTGCGATTCTACAGTAAAATCTTCATCGGTTGAATGATGGTATGTACGTTGTGGGCCGCTGTTCCCTCCAAGGACTTTGCTCCCTTAGCGCTTATCTTTTTGCAAACAGACAGGACTCGGTTTCTATTTCAATTCAACTCCTCGAACAAAATCTAAATCAATACTGTTTTTGGCTCTGGACGATTTAAAGACCGTCCAATTTTAAGGAGTTGGAGGTGCGCAGATTCATATTCTGTATGAAGCAGTTCCTGTGAAAGTTTGATTAGGGTCGGGATGGAATGGAACAACTGTCAGCCTAAACCTTTTGAAACGCCATGAATGAACTCGTATCTTCCCAATCCCATGAGCGTGCGAGTGTGGCACGCCAGAAAGATCATTGGCGTGCGTGCACGGCCATCAACAAATGCGTATCTTCCCAATCCTCGAGCCATTGTCGGCGGCCGCTTGAACTGTCAGTGTTTGGCAGCCGGGCCCCGAGCTTGCCCGTTCCGTTTCCTGAGAGGTTGTTGGGTGGGTTACAACACTTTTGGCGTGCCATGAACGTGCAAGCGTAGCACGCCAATATTTGGCATCGTCTGTTACATCAGTTGGTCGACCCAAACAACACCTATAACGTTCAACGGTGAGCAAGGTGGACCCAAGCTTTTGCTTTTAAGTCCAACACCAACAGAGCCCACAGGCGAATGACTCCCGAGCGTGGGTGGAAGAGACAGGTTTTTCATTCACATTACCCGACTCAACACTCAAAACTTCACGTGAGGCTGTCTTGGATGTGTTTATATGAATAATTGACAGCTAACTGCATAATCGTAGACCACATCTGAAATTTCACTTTGCACCTTTGTCTGTGCGTAAACATCCGTTTTAGGCCGTGGCTATGTAAACCATGACGCCGATTCGCGCGCGCTGCCCATTGCTCCAAGTTCTAGCACCGTTTCGGTAGTTGCTCCAAACGCTCCAATCCCGCCCCGCACGTCATAAGGGTGGAGCGGTTGGAACTTGCCAACTTGGAAGGGCGTTCTACTTAATACGGTTGTTTGTACAAATAAAGGCGCACAAAGTAAAATTGAGATATGGTCTACGGTTATGCAGTTAGCTGGAAGTTAAAAAGTCTTTTTCGAAATGCAAAACCCGCTCTCCTGAGGTAGGATTCTTTGGCGCAGGGGTGAAGAGTCGGGAAGATGCTGATAGTTCAAACTCCGACCAACTGATCAAATTCATGCCAACTTCTGTCACGCTCTCAGTCTGCTCTGACATCAGACACGCAGTCTTCTCGATTGGGAATGTGCCTGGCTAGCATCAACTCTCTCGTGACGACATTCATGTCGGCCTGTTGCCTCTTTTCATCTTAAACCACACCTTGGTCTCGAGCCCCACTGCTTTCTTACTTCAGGTTCGTCTTCCCCTGAAAACCCCCGCGGCGCAAGCACAGTAGGACAATGGTCAAGCCTTCAGTGAGTTGTCTTGCTTCATATTGGAGGCAAAGCACAGAAACTGTTCATAACAGAGTATAAGGCATGCAAGGAGAAGACAACTTTTCATTTGGTGAGGCTACCTTTTTTTCAGAGAGCAGGAAAGCGGGTCTAATTCTCAGGCTTCTGGTGCTGCATGTTTCATGCACGCCTGGCACGCCGATTTTGCTTTAAGCACTGTTGAGTATCCCATCATCGGCCACTGGGATGTTTCAACACACGACACCTGAACAGACCGATCAAATTTAGTATTTTAAGCGAAGGGGAATTCAACTAGTTCCCTCCCTATCACTCACTGCCTTAGTAATGGCTGAAGCGGATGTTGTCGTCAAAGCGCTCTTGTACACCCACCTGCTCATATTCCTAGCGATCGTCCAGCGGCCATCTCCCTACCGTAAACTCTGTTTTTTGCCGGTCTTCTTCCTCAGTCTCTATTTATTTTTCTTCCAACCAATCACAAGCGGTTTCTCAACAACGGGAAATAGCTTTGGTTGTGCCCTCGCTACTTCCATCCTAACTGCCTCCGATTATATCCTCCTCACCGATGTTCAGAATGAACTCCGACTTCAGAACGACAAACAGCACATCCCCTCCGCGCCACTTCGAACGCGCATGGCGTGGGCGCTCAGGCTTCTGACGTCCCAGCGCGCGATCGGCTGGACACACGAACCGACGGGGCGCATTCGTCCAAAGCCTACAGCTTCCCGATGGGCGTTCGTAATTTCCAGAATGTTTTGGGTGGCGTACTACGTCGTGCTCTTCGACCTCCTGCAAATTATGATGCAATGGAATTTCGCGGTCATCAAAGGGGAGGTGAACTACGGGGGGAAGTTTGGGTGGTTGCTTACCCGGATCTCGTTCCTGCCGTGTCTTATTGAGATACACCTAGGTGTGAGCATGACGTATAGCAGCATGGCGGCGGCGTCGGTTACGCTGGGACTGGCGGAGCCTAGGCAATGGCCTCCAATATTTGGTCATTGGAGTGAGGCTTTTACGGTTGGGCGATACTGGGGGTTTGTTTTTCACCGTCTCAATATTAACACTTTGTTGATTACCAAATGATCCAGACGGACATGGCATCAAGTCTTGCGGAGGGTAAGGAAATATACAACCTGCTACTATTAGAACGTTTTACTTATGTGGTTCCCCTTATAGCTTCTAACCGCTCACGGCAAATTTGTCGCCAATGAAGTTCTTCATCTGCAAAGTGGTACATCTTTGGCATGGCACGTCCAACTATATGTTGCATTCGCCCTCTCCGGTCTGTTACACCTGGCAGGCGAATATAGGGCTTTGAACAACTGGAAGACTGGTGGTGCTATGCGCTTTTTTGTTCTCCAAGCTCTAGCAATCACATTTGAAGAGATGGTCATTAAGTTGGCTTCAAGAACTGGCTTCAATAAAACAACGAGAGCTTCGAAATTGATTGGGTATGTTTGGGTTCTGGGTTGGATGATCTGGACGGTTCCGTCTTGGACTGGGCCCTTGGCCAAGGCGAGGATCGGTGGGCCAGAAGAGAAACACAGTATGATTTTGGCAATCTATCAGCAAGCTCGCAAAAACGGAACTTTTGCGAACCTTTTTATATCACAATATAATAGAGAATCTACACCCATCTCTTAAATTCGTTCATAGAAGTGCTTGTAGAGTCAGAAGTTCAAAGTTCACTGGCACCCTGCTAGATTTTATAATATATTTTGACTTAACCACGAAAAACCTGCGTTACTTCTTAAAGCGGCTTGGGTCAAACAACGATCAAACAACGATCTCCTTCGGAAGAGGTTGGACATTTCGTGGTTCAGGTGAACCGCGCTTGGCAACGGCACATACCCAAAGATCACCGCCACTGGTCAACGTCAACATCGAAGACTCGATGTTGTCCTTCTCCATGTACCGGACATCGACCCAAGTCCGCTTCTCCCGATATTACCCCGCAATATTTCGCACCTTCAAGTTACAATGCGACCATCCTCTTAGAACAAATTTGAACACTACCACGATGAAGCCTCGAGGTGACATGACCATGACTTTCTTTGTGGTCTTGAATATCATACACTGAACCATTTCTGCTCAACCAACAGCCTTACCCCTCTGATAATACATAGCAGCCACCACTCCGAGCTTGAACTTCTGACGCCGAACTTCTCCCAGACACTTAATGCTGCCAGGCGTATTGATATTGATTCAGCGGCTCTCCGGGATCCTTACATCGTGCACACGCTAAAGATAGAGGAAATATACAATGCATACGAACAGACGAATCCCTAACAGATGGATTGACTTGAACCGAAGAGAATCAAGTTGATCCTGCATCTTTGGTGGGACCCCGTCTTTTCCTTTCTTCGCGTGCTTTCGCGGCCTTCTTCTACCCTCCCTCCTACAAGTCTTGCCATGGACACGCCAGACAAGAAATCCCTTGAGCAAGAGAAACCTATTTCGAATCGTGCCCCCACGTTCCATGTGTTGGCGATCGAGGTGACTGAAAAGGACCGGCAGAAGCTTTACAGAAAAATCGACTTGCACATTTTGCCTTTCATTTCCCTTCTTTATTTCTTGTCATTTTTGTGAGTATGACGCGGTTCCTTTGAAATGATATCTAATTTGACTGTTCACTAAAGGGATCGCTCCAACATTGGTATACCCCGCCTGATATCCGTGTTTGTCCCGGCTCTAAAGCTATATTTTTTACGTGGCTAGGCAATGCGAGAATTGCGGGGATGGCAGTGGATGCTAAGTTGACAGGTTTAAAATATAATGTGGTATGCCTGCCATTCCGATTCTTATCTACCAGACGTCTTATTTTTTGACTTTTTTAGGTGGCGGCTGTTTTTTTTGTACGTCTCACCTTCGATACTTTTTCTTGAGGAAACCCAACTTCGGAAAAAAAAATATAGATNTCATATGCCCTCGGAGAAGTTCCTTCGTACGCTGTTTGCAACAGGCCTGGTTCATTGTTGTCGCTTAACCCACCCATTTCTAGAAACATCTGCCTGAAGCTTGTCAGGCCTTCGATATGGAGTGCGGTCAATTCATGAAATCCTATCTTAACTCGGCTGAATTAATTGTCAGTTCCATCGATGATGGTTGCTTGGGGTATGTGTTCATTATGTTAGGCTCCATTCTATTTTGACCGTGATCCTAGGCTTGGTATTGTCCCTCATGTGCCTCTGCAACACATATCGCTCCTTGATCATGTATGCGCCATTACATCAAAAAGAACTGGCTGACTTAAGTTTTTTTTTTGCCCTGGCCAGCGCTCGTTTCTTTTTAGGATTGGCTGAAGCTGGCCTGTTTCCGGGGGTACTTTGCTTCAACCTCCCTATAACTTTAATCATTCAGTCATTTGCAGGTTACCTTTTATCTATCGCTATGGTACAGAAGATGCGACGTCGGCAAAAGGATTGCAATATTCTTCTCTGCTGCCACTATTGCCGGTGCGCAGCTGTTTGGGTGGTCTTTTAACTTGTTTCTGATATGGCTGGAGATTTCAGGAGCTTTTGGAGGTCTTCTAGCGTGAGTGAATGTACTTCACAACCTGGCTCACCTTTTGAGTTGCCTTTTAACCCAGATATGGGATCGAAAAGATGGAGGGTGTTGGAGGCCTTCATGGCTGGCAATGGATAGTAAGACCATAATTTAAGTGCTTTCTCTCGACTTTCCAACCCTTCCTTTACAGTTTTGCCTTGAAGGAATAGGTGTGTTCATTTGCTGGATATTCATTAAATTTCCTTCATCCACACGTCTCAGCTACTGTCCTCGTGGCCCTTGCCTCCTACTTTCTCTTATACGATGTACGCACCCCCCCTCTCGCACAATTTAAAGTTGACTATTGAAGTAGTATCCTAACTCAGCAACTTTTCTGACTTCCGAAGAAAGGGCGATGGTTATTGCAATGCTCAAAGAAGATAACCAAGGCCTAGCAACAGATTTCAAGTTGAAGTTTGTATGGCAGGCTATTTCCGATTATAAAATATACGTTCAAATAGGAATATATATCGGTGAGTACTCAGTAGCTCTTCGATTGTTGTCTCTTTTGTCAATTGACGATCGGTCTGCAGGTTTGCTGATACCAATCTATGCGATCTCTCTTTTCCTGCCAACGATCATTAACAAACTTGGTAGGTGTCTGTATATCACTCCTCTTTCTATCTGAGCTAGACTAGGTTTCTCTTCCACAAATGCTCAACTCTTAACCATTCCTCCCTTTTTTGCCGGTTGTGTCTGCATTATTGCAGGTTTGAGTCAGTAAAAATATCCAATCTTCTGTCGCTAATTTATTTCCTCAAGTTGGTATCTACTCTGATAAATTGAATTTAAGGGGACCCTTTATTGTTGTCGGTGCCTTCATATCGCTCATTGGATATATCATCCTGTACAATCAATCCTCACCTGGTGTATCGTACTTCGGTACCATCTTGGCTGCCATTGGTGTTTTCCCCACTATTCCCGTCGCTCTCGCATGGGTAGGCTCAGCTGCCGGCGGAGATGTGCGCAAAGGTAAATAAATGGAGTACTGATTACGTCTTAATCCTGACCCCTAATAGGTGTTTCTATCGCCCTTGTAATTGGACTTAGTAATTTTGGAGGGTAGGTTGTCATTCCTCCGCCACTTGTACTGACTTGACAGCGAAAACTTACCTGTCATTTCCTCATAGGGTCTGCTCATCTTTCATTTATATTACCCCTCCTCACTTCCATATTGGCCACGGCACAATCATGGGCTGGCTTTCACTGTCGTAAGCCTGTGTATTACCTTCATACCCGCTGACGTCTAATTTGATGAAGCATCCTGCTGAGCCTTTTCGCGATGTGGGATTACAACAGGTTGAACAAAAGAAATATCGCTATTTGCAAACACGACGGAATCAACCAAAAGAAACAGGAAAAGTATAAAGACCTGGGTAATGATAGCCCACTTTTCAGGTAGGTGATAATTTTCGCACATTAAATATAGCCTGAGCTAATTTTTTTTTGCAAGATTTACTCTGTAGTAACTACTCAAGTTTCGGGGCTGTGGAATTATATTATTTTAGTCCATGTTACTCGGTTTTTTCAAGATCTTTGCGTTTCCGAATTGATTTCTTTGAGGTTTTCTCCATTTATTTGAATCTTCATACCGCTCGATGCCAAGATCCGCAAACGCGAATTGAAGTTGTCGGGTAACTCCCCCCGACCCTTTATGTGCAAATTCACAGACTCCAAAGGAACCACTTGACCATGTGGATCGTCAAAAGCGGCACGTCGAGACTCCAAAACATCCGCCAACTTACCGAATTCACTTTCCTTAAGGGAGCAGGAAAGGGAAAAGCGGTTAAGGTGTGGTAAACTTCTGACGCCATTATTGTTATCAGGATGTGCAAGTCCCAGGAAGTCTATGTCAAGGCGCGAGCCTGGCGAGGTCGCATTGAACCCATCAATCTCCAAGCAACGCAGGGAACGGAGTAGAACAAAAACTTCGGCCAAACCATCTTTGCTGAGTGGAACTTCATGGAGTTTAAGACGGTCGAGCGGGCAAGTCGAACGGAGGATAAAAGCAAGAAGGGCCCCGTCGAAGTCGCGAAACGTCGTGTTGGAACCAATTTGACAACCATGAATCTCTAGAATTTTGAGAGAGGGGAAAGTGACAGAATGCAATATGTCAGTCAACATAGAAATAGACAGGAAAGGTGTTGCTGATATAAGGGTCAAGCTTTGGAGGTGATCTGCAACGCAATGGGTCGCCATGGGCTCCCCCATCTCCATCATTGACAGCATCCTCATAGTGAATTCACATGAGGTTATCGTGGGAGCGATGTTCAACAGTTGAATGCAATCATTGGGGGTCATGTTGTGAGCGGAGAGATGGTGGATTTGCGACCATGGGAGTTTCAATGTCGCCGGCTTGGGCCACGAAATGAACTCAATGGTATGGAGGGAGGATGCATCTTCGAATACGGCAAACGCTGCTAGGTCATCATTCAATACAGAAAAGCGATCCATCATGAATTCAAATTCATTGTGCGTGAGAGTCAACGTAGTAAGCCGGGGAATGTTCCCTCGAACCACTGAAGGCATGTTTTTGATCGTGTTCACAAGGGAGAGTTGGATGTTTAGCGACTCCCATCGGAGCGAGTGAGCGACAAGCCTTTGCACAATCTCGTCAGCAGGGAGCAATTCCCTGCCAGAAATGCATGTTTTCAGCGGAGCTTGACCCGATCTCCGGAGATAAGTTTCGACGACAGCGAGTTGGCAAGCCCAGTGTCGAAGTGCACCACGTCTCGGTCGTGCAGTCCGTGCAACTTGAAGTGAAACAGAGATTGTTGACCATACGATAGGTGATGACTGGGCAGCATCTCGTCATTGGCTGCAGACCAACATAAGGCTGAGGAGGTCGCCGCAGCAAGAGGTGCTAGAAAGCCAGCTGTCCACCATCGCCCACGCGAAAATCGTGGACAAGACTTCGAGTGGCAAATCACGAATTGGGCAAGGTGCAGAAGACGGAATCTGCGCGTTTTTGGATCACACCTTTGCGCTTGCTAGAGGCCTTGACTCTTCCGCGATGAGCCTTGTTGGCCATGGCCAGTTATAAAGACAATAACGGTAGATAACAATATTCGTTTACTGTGGGTGTCTCAGGCTTGTGGTAGTGAATTTGGCAGCTTTATTTCGTGTTCTTGGCCAACTCTCCACCTCTCCAACTCGGAGTTATCTCCTTGCCAGGTCTCTCTTCTGATGAACTTTCCTCGACTCCTCTGTCTCAAGATGACTATCAAATAGTTTACATCGATCTAGGGCTGGCAACGACGTAGATGAACAAAAGGAGTTCGTCCCTGCTTTACACATTTTACTTAATCATTCCACATATCTTTCTTGCCAGCCAACCACCACCTGAAGCGATGCACGAAAAGACCGAGTTCAAACCTTTTCTCTTCCTATTGGCGTGGGGCATAACTTTCCTCTCCTTGTTGGTCCGACCATCTCCGTTCCGCGGGCTACTTTTCATCCCAATACTATCCATCTGTCTCTACCTCACTTTCTACACCACCGGCGCGGACATTGCGTCCAATATCGCTATTGGGTGTGCTTTATCTTCCCAAATTTTCACTTCGCTGGATTTGACTGTCCTCACTGACGTTCAAAACGAACTTCGCTTGGTTGGTCAGAAGACGTCTATCAGTACAGCGTCGCTGAGCGACCGCTTCTGGTGGGCACTTCGACTACTTTTGAGTCCGCGAGGTATAGGCTGGGCGCACGAACCGACAACGCACATCCTCCCACACCCAACTACGTCGCGCGTTCGATTCCTTTGGGACCAGCTACTTCGTACAGCAAAGTTCACCATCATCTTCGATGTCGTCAGAGTTCTCTCTTATTCGAACCCATACTTTCAAAAGGGAGGGCCGTCTCTCACCGACGCAGGATTATTATGGAGATCAACGGTGCTCGCGCACGTCATAACTACATATGCGGGCTTGGCAAGGATGTATACCATCTACAGCATTGTGTCCGTGGGCTTGGGATTCACTGTACCAGGGGACTGGCCTCCCCTGTTTGGTTATTTGGGAGATGCCTACACTGTCCGTCGCTCCTGGGGGTATGTGGCGCTCTTGGCGATCCATTCCTTATGCTGATCCCCTCTTTTTCAGTCGCGTTTGGCATCAGTTGATGAGACGGGTGTGTTTCTCCTCTCCAAATCTCAAGAATGACATGACGTAACTGAGCTTTTGAACAGTTCCTCCAAGTCGAGTCCGATTTCCTGGCATATAAAGTTCTAAGACTGCCACGGAAAAGCACCTTTACGACCTACTTCAAACTCTTCGTAGCCTTCTTCATCTCTGGTGTGATCCATCAAGTCGGAGATTACTCAGCACTTGGTCACTGGTACGGCTGTGCTCTGGCTTTCTTCATCTACCAGGCGGCCGTCATCACATTTGAAGACGCGGTCATTGGAATAGCTGCGAAGTTTGGTTTCGATAAACCAACCCCGGTCAAAAAAGTCTTTGGGTACCTTTGGGTAGCTGCGTGGCTGACCTACTCGATGCCTATGTGGGCATCCCCATATATGACGGGTGGATACCTGGAAGCCGATGTTCAATTCAGTCCTATCATGGGATTGTCACGCGGGGAATGGTATCCCAAACCCGATCCTGTGAACGTTTTCAGTGCAGGTAAATGCATCGATTCCATGGAACCCAGGATTTTAACTGAATTCGTTGTGATTATAGCTCTCTCGAAGATTTTCCACACGTAGGGAGGTTTTTGTCGTGGATTAGACATTATACCCTTGGTTATACCATGGGCGGCCATGCTTCTCTCCCCTTTAGTTAAGCAACGCTTGACAATTCCATTCGTTTTTTGATTTCAGGCTTTCTTTCGCGCCAGGTAGTTTGTAAGCTCAACCACAAGCTGGTTGCATCTTGTGATTGAGACTACTTCAGTATTCGCAGGGATATTATCGTCTTCCAGAACCGACGAGTTGTAGGCCCTCACGTCTCCTCATCACCTAGATTCAACAGGGGATCTACAGCCACTCATATTTCTAATGTCGTAGATTTGAGTGGGGACACTCAGCCTCGCTCGGTCAACATGACTTCGGCCTCGGATCCCTAGCCTTCAACCGTTCACAAACAAGCTTCCCAAACTCTTCCCTCAAACGCCTCTCCAGTAAAGTAATTCACTACAAATTCATTGTGTCGGAAAGTCAACGTGCAAACTAAGCTAACGAATAAGCTCGCAGCACTATCAAATGCTTTATTCCTGTGATCCTGCGTCCTTTGCTGAAAACTCTCATGGATGCTTGTGTGATCATCATCATTGTCATTGGAGCTCAATACCGTCGACGGAAGAGGCATACCTGCTACAGACGAGGACTTCAAGAATGATTTTTTTCAAGCTTTTGCCAACAAGAACGAAGGCATGCTGGCTCGCACCTCCGAGCCTCGGTCCAGAATCTGCACAACCGATTTCCCAGTAGTCATCGTCTACGTTGGAGCTCAATACCGTGGGAACAGGCATAGGCGTGTTTGGAGTTGACGAGCGTGTCATATCATGGCAACCTGCAGGACTTGGCTGGCGAAGGGGAACAGATACGGTACGCCGCGCTCCCTTTCTCCTTCTTCCCTTTCCCCAACTTTCTTCGGCTAAGGAGATTTTGGTCATCTCGCACGAAGCCTGTTAGGTTTAACCCTCCTACCCATCCCTGCTTCTCTCTGCTGCCGATTTCTATCTTCTTAGTTTGTTACGCACCCCTCTTCTACCGTTCTCCAAGTTCCGCTTTAGTCTAGACCTAATACCCATCCCAGTTCGCTATTCGTGCTCGTCGACCATTCGAAAGCAAAGCGGACGAGCAAAGGATCTTTCAAATAATGTGTGACCATGCCGATACGAGCTCATGAGGGGGTTTTATTATCGATTGTCCTTTTCATCTGACCCTACAGATTCAAATCATGGTATTTCATGTGAAAAGGCCTGATGACGGTCAAAAACACCCAGCACACTTCATGTCAAGGTTTTACATGGCCTGCGTATGCTCAACCATTGCACGCAGGTCCGTCCTTCATTACTAATCTCTATACATTCATACTAAATGAACGCCAAAGCTCGTCTGAGTCATCTCCCAGGTAAATGTCGTGAACATACATATCACACTGCAGGAAGAAGTACTCCAGAACCGAGGACATTGTCATGGTCAACCCTCAATGGAGTGTAGGTGCCTTTTTAAACATATGAAGAAACCCAGGGCGTCAAAGCGGAAGAACTACTCGCCCAGACGACACAGAGCATCCAGCGAAGAAACAGGCGACGATGGGGCCGAGCACGAAGATAAGCGCGGCGAGTCAGGCGGTGGTGAGTGGGCCTATGATGGAGAAGGCGAAGCACAAGTCGGAGATGAGCGATGTTATAAAGAGCTTGTATGGGAATGGGATGAAGAGGAACAAGACTTTCATGACTCCTATGGGCAACTACGTCTTCCCTTTGGTTTTCAAGTATTTTATCTTTAACGCTGACCCTTCGTTGCTTCATAGCTTGTTTTTACACTACTCATTAATGTATAATATGCACTGTATGTATTCTTTGGATGATGACTTGCTAATCGTGGTTGTCGAAGATGTGAGGCCGAAGTTAAGAGTTACAATGTAACTGCCCGTCAGTTCTCTTTTTCTTTTCTCTTCCTCAACAGCAGATTGTGTGGGCTTGGGGCCTACCAAGTAGATTGGGTTTCAGCAAATGATTCTAACCAAAATTTGTATTTACAAAGGACTAGAAAAAGAGCTTCACGCGGTCAACACGCGGTGAACCCGACTGAATTGAGTCACGTGTTTCATATTTATAAACTTCTCCACTTTGCTCCCGCACAAATCCCCGTACTTTCCAATCTCCAAAGCGGAAACTAGTTTGATGATTTCGTACCATTTTTCCAGAAAAGGTTGACATCGTCCACCTGAGACATTTAGTAAAAGGCGGTGCTCGCTGTAATGATTCTTTTACCTTGGCCTCTTCACGCTTCTGCACGAACCCTCCCAAATTGATTACGACTTCGCTCTGCAGAATGTACATCAGCACAGTTTGTTCGATGTAGGGAGTCTTTTACCTTGGCCTGTTCACGCTTTTGCTCCAACCCTCCCCAGTTTTGGGGTTCCGAAACGGCGTCGCTCTACATAAAGCGCATCAACATAAACTCTCCGAGTTACGTAGTTTTCTCGGAGTCTCACCGTGGCGACGTTGCGCTTCTCGAATTTGGCCCATTGGTTGGGAGACTCGATCTGATCGGCCTGCGAGAGACCTCAGCACCGCTAGACTGGCAACGGACTGGAATCGGCCCTTACCGTGGTGGGTGCAGCAACGGCGGCGCTGGCGAACAAAAGAACGGAGATGACGCTGGCGAAGGTCTTCATGGTAAGAAATCGCAAACGACTTATTTTACCATCCCTGCGTCCAGTGTTTTATAGCTATCTCATCCCCGTCCTCATCGACGATTACTTTACTTCTGAAACCTAACAGGCGGCATCCCCCCTGTCTGTGTGCTTCTTAACGCCGCCTTTCCGGTCATTGGCCCTTGGGCCCGATACTCCTGACGTCTTGAAGCGTCAAACTTGCCACTTTCGACGCACCACATCTCCCGTGATATGCCTTGTATAGTCAGCTTATACACCGCTTGACTAGCTGAAAAGCCGCCGTGATGAGAGGGGCCCCTACACAAGGCAGGAGGTAGGCCAGGTCAATCCCGTTCATGGTTCTTTTTCGATTTCAAGCAGTTTGCTCGTCTTTTGTATAGGCAACATGGTCGTTGAAGGTCGCACATCATATCAGAATCAAAACTGAGTGGCTTTTGCTATTGGGCATGAACAGAAAGTGGCCGTCATGTTACCTCTCGCATCAAAGCTTTCTCGACCACGAGAGCCGTTTTTACCCATCAAGTTGGTGTCTCTCGAGGATGACGGGGTTCTCACTATCGTGGCCTAGGTCTCGCTCGTATTGGCTTTATCTGAACAACATCACTCAGAGCTTCTTCTTCCACGGTTGTCTTTGAAGTCTGCGAGCACATACCCACATACCCTTCCCCTCACTTCAACGCCATGGAATCGCACATCTACAAGGCCGTTCATAGAGACTCGCTCGACGACGTCACATTCATTGGAGCTGAAAAAGGGACCGATTTCAGCTTCATCCCACCTTCTCGATCCGAAAAGACCAGCAGAAGACTCAAAATATTCTTGCTCTCCCAAGGCGTGCTCAACTTGACTCTTATCTGGCTCTGTGCTTGGCTTTTTGTTTCTCGTCATCTTGCTGGACAGACCGTAAACACTCAATTCTTGTATTGTGCGTAACTTCGAAACATTGAGTCGCACACCCGAGCGCTGACCCTTTTCGTCGATGGCAGCTCCAGCGCAGGATGCCCTGGAGTACGAGACAAGAGTATTCCATGAAAGTTTTGGCAAAGATATAAGTATATATCAGCAGCCACCATCCCCCGAGGTTGATAAAGCTTGGGACGAATTGTACAACTGTGAGTCGGACAGCCTGACTTCCAAGGTCCGTGCTAACGATTAGTCTTTTCGAATTAGTTGGTGTGACCAAGATACCCAAGAGCATTGCATCGAATCTTGTCAACAAAACATATCGTATCCCAGGCGACGAGGAGCACTATGTTATTGAACTCGACGTTTTTCATGAACTTCACTGCTTGGTTCGCAAACTTTCTCACCTTCTTTTACTGATACTATATACTAACTAAATTGTAGAACATGCTTCGCAAGGCACTCTATCCCGAATACTATCCCCCTATCAAAGTGTTTGCGAGCCCGACGGAGAACCATCTCTTTGGAGTGATGCACAGGGGTCATTGTATTGAGAGTATCAGGCAATCGCTGATGTGTTCAGTTGACATCAGCCCCATCGTGTGGCAGTGGGTCGATCGTGTCCAGGAGGTTCGGGTGGTGGGGAATATTATTCACACTTGCCGCAGCTTTGATAATGTTCGGGATTGGGCGTTGAAACGCCGATTGACGCATGAGCTGAATTTCGAGGGATTCCATTGATACGCTAGGTTTAAATCACATATCTAACTTGAGCTGCACATCTGTTGTATACAAACTAATTATCGGACAAAACAAGTCCAGATGGAAACATGCCATGAACCAGATCTTGATTGTCGACCAAATTTCTAAGCTCTTATTAGGGGGTCAGCATCAGAAACGACAACGAGAAAAAATGTCTCACTCAATCAGTAGGAGGGAAGGGGTTCAGTTTCCTTGCCTCAGCGACGACATTCCTTGCCTCGTCAGATAATAGACCGGCCTTGACAAGAGCTGCGATGTAGTCCATAGTCCATTCCTGGCACCGACGCATGCCAGGAATATCGTGCTGCAGTGCAGCGGCAACTTCAGACACGCTACCCGTTGGCATAACCTCACGACTAGCTGCGCGAGGTGCATCGAGTTTACCTGCCACTTTTTCAAACTTGTCGTCCTTGTTCAGATCAGTGGTTTTGGTAGGTTCGGTGACATCGACAATGTTGGAAGAGTCGGTAGTGCCAAGAAGAAAGAGGCAGATCGATTTGGCAGAGTGGGTTGTACGCCAGTCAAAAGCGTGCTCGACCTCGATTTTAAAACCAAACTGGGGCGCGCCAAGCGCCTGTATTTTCTTTCCAACACTGTTGGGCTCCTAAAAGAACATAAAAGTTAGCCGTAGGGGAAGAGGAAGAGGAAACCCTTACGTTTGAATCTAAGGGGAACCAAATGGTCCAGTGAGGTCGAGCATTTTTGAGAGGAACAGAGATGAGATAGATATCACGAGTGGACATGATGGCTTGCAAGTGGGATCTGTGCGATGCTAGAAAACTGTCTTATGTGGCCTAGCGTTGTTGAAAGATGCAAGGTGACGACGTCCTCGCCATCCTCGGATAAATTTCTTGTCCGATCGAGCTATGTGGGCGCGCTGCACTGGCAGACTGACTTGAGACTCAGTACTCATTATTTGTTCTTGATTTGTTCGTCGAACCATCTGTCAATGAATTTGCTCAAGTCCCCGATTGTCCACTGCTAGATCATAGATGGGAAAAACGGTGTTTTTTCCCATCTTTACTGCCAACCACCAGCTGAAGCGATGCACCAAAAGGCCGAATTCAAACCTGGTCTTTTCCTATTGGCCTGGGGCATCACCTTCATCTCCTTGGTGGTCAGACCATCTGCGTACCGCGGGTGGCTTTTCATCCCTATACTGTCCATCTGTCTCTACCTCGCTTTCTACACCACTCCCGGGGACGTTGCGAACGGCAGCGGTTTGGCGTGCTTTGTAGTTTCCTTGATCTTCTATTCGCTGGACTTGACTGTCCTCACGGACGTTCAGAATGAACTTCGTCTGGTTGGACAGAAAACGTCCATCAGTGCGGCGTCGTTGAGCGACCGCTTCTGGTGGGCACTTCGGCTACTTTCGAGTCCGCGAGGTATAGGGTGGGTGCACGAGCCCACAACTCACATTCTCCCACACCCAACTACGTCGCGCGTTCGATTCCTTTGGGATCAGATACTTCGTACGGCAAAGTTCATTATCATCTTCGATGTCGTCAGAGTTCTCTCTTATTCGAACCCTTACTTTCAAAAGGGAGGGCCTTCTCTCACCGACGCAGGGTTATTATGGAGATTAACGGTGCTCGCGCAAGTCATAACTGTATACGCGAGCATGGCAAGGGTGTATACCATCTACAGCATCGTGTCCGTGGGCTTGGGATTAACCGTACCAGGGGACTGGCCTCCCTTGTTTGGTTATTTGGGAGATGCCTACACTGTCCGTCGCTCCTGGGGGTGAGTGATGCCCTTGGCCATCCATCACTCATGCTGATCCCCTCTTTTTCAGCCGTGTTTGGCATCAGTTAATGAGACGGGTGGGTTTCCCTTTACCATTTTCAGGAATAACGTAACTGAGCTTTCGAACAGTTCCTCCAAGTCAATTCCGATTTCCTCGCCTACAAAGTTCTAAGACTGCCACGGAAAAGCACCTTCACGACCTACTTCAAACTCTTCGTAGCCTTCTTCATCTCTGGTTTGATCCACCACATCGGGGATTACGCAGCACTCGGTCAATGGCACGGCTCTCTGGCTTTTTTCGTCTATCAGGCGGTAGTCATTACATTCGAGGACGCCGTCATCGCCATAGCTGCAAAGTTTGGTTTCGATGAACCAACCCCACTCAAGAAATTCTTTGGGTACCTTTGGGTGGCTGCGTGGTTAATCTACTCGATGCCTATGTGGTCAGGCCCACAGATGACGGGTGGATTCATGGAAGACGATGCCGAATTCAGTCCTATCATGGGATTATCACGCGGGGAATGGTATCCCAAACCCGACCCTGTGAACGTTCTCAGCACAGGTAAGTGCACCAAGTCCTTGTAACCTAAGATGGCAATTGAATTTGTTGTGATGTAGCTCTCTCGAAGATTTTCTACAAGTAGGGAGATTTCTGTCGTGGATTAGACATTATAACTTGGTTATACTGGGAGCTCGTGCTTCACTCCTCCTTACTTGGGAATCTCATTCGTTGTTCAGGGCGATTACACGCCTTCTTTTCGTGCCAGGTACTACATGACTTCGTAAGCTTAACCGCAAGTTGGTCGCTTAGTGATTAGGACCACCTTAGTACTCGCAGCAATCCTGTTGGCATGCAGAACCGACAAGCTGTCGGCCTTTACATCTCTTAATCCCCTTATAACAGAGCATCTACAGTCTCGCATATTTTATGTAGGTAGAGCATCGTAGATCTGAGTTAGGTACCCTCAGCCTGGCTCGGCCAACATCACTTCAACCTCGAATCCCCAGCCTTCAACCGTTCATTAACAAGCTCCCCAAACTCCTCCCTCAAAATCGCCTCCCTCCTCTCCCTTTCCTCCTTCTGCAACTTCAATATCCCCCTCTTCTCCTCCGCACTAATAACCTGATTCTCTTTCCTCATCCGCACAGCATTCATCCTCCTGTGCCTGCTCCCGCTCATCACATATCCCACATCCTCGTACTTTGCAATCTCATCCGACGTTAGCCCAATCTCACCACGACGCGGGATACGCGCCTCCGAGTCTTCTTGGAGGAAAGCGGCCATGGCGCTGCCTTCGCCCCGGAGGAGGGCTCCGCCGTATGCACGCTCGTCGAAACGTTTGCCGGTACCGAATTGTTGGAGTGGCTTTGGACCGACTTCTTCTTCGTCATCTTCGTCGTCTGATTGATCAGTGTTGGCTTGCGTGGCTTTTGTTGGTGGGGCTTTTCCACCAAGAGCACTTGTAGGGACTGGGGGAGGTGCCATGGGCGACCGCTCAACCCAGGCATCAGAGTCGTCATCGTCAGCTGTTGGGGAACGGCTGCGGTCTTTCTTTGGTGTGGGGCTGCGAGTCGTCGCAGGGTGCGGTGCGCTTTTGCTACGACTCCTTGTTCTGCGGTGTCTCTTGCGCCTGTCGTGCTCGTCCGAGTTGTCGTCGTCGCGGTGACGGCGGGGGGAAGGAGATCGACGACGTCTTTCCCTCTCTTTGTCCTTTTCCTTATCATGACGCGATCGTTTCTTCTCTTTACGTTTTCTCCGTCGCCTCTCTTCCTCTTCAGAAGAGGTCTCGTCACTGGAGGAAGGGGATCGTGCACGTTTTGATGATTTCTTGCTTGACTTTTTGCGTTTCGGAGACCTACATACATACCCAAAAATTTATACACGTCAGCTGAAAAGAGAGAAAGAGTACATACAAATCGCGAGCAGGAGCTTTCGGTGACGGAGGCCAGACGTTCACCGTCATAGCTTCCCGTTGAGCACGACGACTACAAAGCAACGATCAGATTTCCACAAAAGAGAGAGAGAGGGGGGGAGGGAAAGAACGCACGACTCGATGAACCCAGCACCCTCACTTCCAGCACCAGATGGTCGTCCGCCCCCTCGATTCGGGTACATATTTTCGGGCTGCCTCCAGGGTGTTTGTCCCTCAACAACAGGAGGCGCAGGGCGTCGGTAGTCATCGTATAACGGGCTGCCTCGACGGCCCTCTGGGGCATTCCGTCGTGGGCTTTCCCCTCTGCCGTTCTCTCTGCCCCTCCCATCATTGCGCTCGTCGCGTCCCCTAGATCCTCTGCTACGATCCCGATATCTCTCCCTTCCCTTGTCTCTCTCATCTCTGCCCTTCCTCTGGTTTCTGTCCCTATCCCTTTCCCGTTCTTTATCCCTATGACTTGGACTGCGGCTCCTACTTCGACGACGCGGGGATGGCGAAGGAGATCGTCGTCGTCGTTGCGGAGGGTCCTGAGGAACTAAACCGAGTCTGGATGGGTGAATGGTGGCCATTTCTTCGTTAGTGTTGAAAGGCAAACTTCGAGGTTTGGGAAGAGTCCTAGAAATTATGTAATTATGTAAGATATGAAATCGTTAAACTAGAAGTTTTTCTAACTTCTCTGTTAGTATATCGGTTAGTACACGCGCCTGTCATAGCCAATCTGACGGTGTACTCTATTGCACGCGCGAAAGCTGGGTTCGACTCCCAGACAGAGAGTATACAGAGAGTATGGCTCGTTCGAGATTTGCAAACAATTTTTCTTCTTTTCAGTCCAATTTCAACTCACACCAAATAACACAGAGTACTTTGTAAATTCATTCAGACACTGCGCCCATCACAAGACAGGTTAACGTTTGAGCTTTTTCAGAGGGCCGAACTGCCCAAAATCTTGTGTATCTACGAGGTCGCATGGCAGGGAGTCAACGATGCTCAAGAAACAAACTGCCTCGTACCCAACAAGTTCAAGCTAACATAGATATCCATTCTCAAACCTCAGGTCGTTCAACGTTGAGCACTAAGCACAACAACGACAACCTTTCTAAGTAGCTCTACATCCTACTGGAATCAATGCTCGTTGTCCACTCTTCAAGCTCTTGCGATATCTGTCTGGGTGCGTATGATTGGGACATCCCAACACAGGCGCCTCACACTATACCCTGCGGCCATATCTTCTCTGAAACGTTGGTCCTACTCAAATCCAAAAGCTACAGTCCCTGGTTCACGCGCATTCTTATGCAATAAAAGTTGTTTAATGTCGATGGGATCGCCAAGCTAACCCCATTGCCGCAAGCGATTCATCGCTAATCGCATCGTAAAGCTGCACGTCGGAGCAGGGTATAGTAGAGAGCTCGATGAGGTGGATTTGCTTTGCGGGGAATCTTCACCAACCCAATGGAGGCGGGGAGGTTGGAGTGCCCCAAGGTGGGCAAATGCTGGTCTCACAACTTCGCCCGTGAGCTTTGCCGCACCACTGTCGACCCGATCTGGGCGGGCAGCAGCTGGGGGAGGTTGGAGGGCAAGGGAAGCGGCAAGGCGGAACACTTCCAATTCAATCCGTCTTCTATTCGGGATTCAACTCCTGAGAACGTGTCAGGGTGGGTTTCTACTGGTTTTAGGCATCTCTGCTTAGGCCATTCTTTCGTGACCATGACGGGCCCCAGTTACCTATCGTCGTCCGCTAACCCGTGAATTTGACTCTTTTTAAGCTTGCTCATCTTGCTCGGGCTTACACATTGTACACATCATATCTGGAATACCATTCATTATCTACTTCAATGCCATGCTGAGTGCAGAACCCGCATCCCAGTAGTCAAACTCAATTCCCAGGTAGCTATAGGCCGGATATTCTTCAGTATGCGTTACATGGCTCAAGGGTTGGGTAAAAGTACAAGGATACACGAAGTGAATCCATAGCTGGCGTTTAACTCGACGCCCATTCATCCCCTGTAATATTTTGAAGAGGCGGATGGCGTCATAGCGCCACCAGGAGCAATGACACACTGCCTCATAGCACTCTGCTTCACAACACGCGATGTCTGGAAATCAGCTAAAATTGAGCGACGACACCCCACCCACTAAAAGCGGGCAACACACCTGTGACATGTTGATTGCCTGCGGCATAAATGCCACCTCTGGTGCCCTTGCTCCCCTCCCAACAAATACGCTCTTCACGCGAGGGCCCTCAACCTTGTCAGTTGCATCAGCCGATAGTTGTTTGTATTGCTTAGTGCACCAACCCCTTACCTGAACGACCTTTGGGCGGCCAGCAGCGATCATTGGGGCACTCAGCCAAACATTGGTATTCGAAGTCGATTGCGGCGACTCGTTATAGATGTTTTCTACGTTCAATGTGTTGATTTGAACGCCAGTGTCCGCCAACTTGCTGTGCAGCTTGTCCGTCACTTGTTCCATTGGAGTCTCGCTGCCGTAGATGTCGTCCACGATAACTTCTTCGAATTCGGCGATCAGCTTTTCAGTCTCGATCGTCTCAATGGTGGTTCCAACAATGTAGTCGCCAAGTTTCTCTGCCAACGTAAGAGGAAAAACCTTTCCGCTGGGAAGGTCTCAGGTGTGGTTGGCGAAACGTGTCATTCACGGCTCACCTGGTAATGTCTGCCAAGGCTTTGTAGAAATCGACCGCGTTCTGTGACGCTATTGTCAGCAACAATGCAACTACAGCGAAAATACGTTCGAGATACCCTGTATCGGCTCAGAGTTGGCTCGCATGCGATCACAAACTAGCCAGTAGTTCTAATATCAGCTCACGTCACCACCTTGAAGCAGAAGAACATACGAGGGTAATTCCACGCTCTGCCATCTGTCGCGCGAGCTGCAGAGGATCGTTTTCTGAAAGTCAAGTAAGCCACTGAACATCGATGCCGTTATCACAGAACAGGGACTTACGATCAGGAGATTCCGCAAAGCCGTCATTATCTTCTCCAATTCCATGTGGGGGTGCATCAGTAATAAGAACCACCATCTTCGCAGCGCCCTCAGCCCATTCCAAGTTCAGCGCATCGGCAAGGGCAGCAGTTTGCGCTTCCGGCCCGTCACCTCCACCAGACGCGATGAGCCCATCCAAATTCTTCTTCATAACAGACTGTTCGGCTGTGAAACCGAAATTCTTCGTAACGAAACTCATGTCTTGGGGTGGGTGATCACGGAACGCGATCAGCCCAAACCGAATGGCTCCTTGTGAAAGCTCAGCAGAGGCAGACACTTTCGAGCAGATTTGTTGGATGGCTTGTCGGGCAGCTCGGATGTAAGGTCCCTGGCTACCTGTCGCATCTTGGAGAAAGACGATATCGCTGGAGCAGAAGACGTCAGGTATGGCAATATTGAGCTAGATGTGACAACGCACATCGACTTGGCCGCGGTGCTTTTGCCGTCTTGAGTTGTTGACATCTTGGATTGATTATTTGAGGGTGGTGAGGCAGACTTTTCGAGGGGTGATAAGTGAATCGTGGCAATAAGGGGACCCAGAAGGGCTTGGCTCCTTTCCTGTACGGTAGCGGTGCTATTTATGTCGATGGATCGAGACTGTGTCTGTTGACTGCTGTGCTTTGACTCTGGTGCAGTCGGTACCGGAGCGACTGCGGGGCAGATAGGCTTCTATGCATCGTGACGAATTCTATGAACGGACCTCATTCAAATGCAAAACAAAGTGCTACTCGCTGAACGGTTACAGCCTCCGAGTCACCTAATCAACTGATCAACTTTCTGACCATTGCAGTCAAGAAGTCTCACCAACAATTTGCCTGCATCTGGAATCTTTTTACAAAGTTGGCGTGTCGGATGGCTTTAGTGTGGTGGTTCTTGTTGCCTGGCGTCTAATGCATCCAGGATGTCGCCTTCTGAACGACGTTCGAAATAGGTTCGTAATTGAGCTCAAATGCAACTCGAATGGCGCAGTTGCTAATAAGTGAATGGGTTCCGAATCTTCCGATTGATTACGCTCAAAGTGGAGGCCTAGAGGCCGGAAAATAGCGCGAGGGGGCTATTTTGTGAATTGAAGCAATGGACCTCGAACGCCCACCAGAGACCAGTGTGTTTTGACTTGAATTTTGACTGGTGGCAGCTTTCAGTGTGCAGACGATGAAAAGACTCGCGTGACTGTAGATGCTCGTGATTAGGATATGAAGCTTAATGAAGGTCCAGACGTCCGTCGCTTGTCAGAATTCCTGGGACATGATAGGACTGAGTTCAACTTTGCCTTCAGGTGTACAGCAAAGTTGGTTTACCCTAGAAATGTTAAATGATGAAAGTATCTTCAGCTTCTCTGTTAGTATATCGGTTAGTACACGCGCCTGTCATATCATATTGTTTAGATTGCTCGCGCGAAAGCTGGGTTCGACTCCCAGACAGAGAGAGTTTGCATTTATCTAGAAAGTTTTTTCTTTTCACTCGTACCAAGTAACGTCCACCATAGCCGCCATTCAACATTTTTGCTGTCAGAAGGGTATGATAGAGGGATTTCATCCAAACACAAATCCATTTCAACAAAGATCCGTAAGAAATTGTGTTAGCGCCCGCCCCACTTGATCGATTGATCATGTGTACGCTTTGACGATAGTTTTAGAGACTTTGGCCTTGCTTTTTCCTTGTACCACAAGTAAGTGCTCGCAAAACATGTACAAGAATCAAATTGAATGACTAGTAACGTACATTTACGCAGCAAAGACTCGCTTTCAGTCGCAAGTCTACATGACAGGCCGCCATCCTCCACCTGTACGTCTACAACGCCTCCATCATCTACAACGCCGCCACCCTCTGCCTAGCAGGCTCAACCCCATCCGCAATCGCCAAATACGGCATCAAATCACTCGTCAAAAACTCACTAGGCCACTGCCTCCTAATCTGTCCCTTCAAATACTCCATCGCAAACTTCACATTCTCCTCCTTCACACCCGCCACAAGGCCCTTTATCCCCGGCGCAAGCTCACCCACCAACTTGTCAACAAACTCCACAGTGATCAGCTCACCCGTGTCCGAGATGCGCGAACCGTACCGAACCCACTGCCATAATTGTACGCGCGTAATTTCGGCGGTGGCGGCGTCTTCCATGAGGTAATTGAGCGGGATGCACCCGTTCCCGCCCACCCAGGCAGCGGTGTACGCGAGGCACGTGGATACGTTCTCGCGGACTCCTTCGAGCGTGATTTGGCCGGGCACTTTGGTGCTTAGCAGGTCGGACGGGGCGACTTTAACTTCTTGGCGAAGGACATGGTACTATTCAGAGAAATGGTGAGTATATGCGCATGTGTGCGCGGAAGGAAGTGGTGTATACCTGATTAGGACCAAGCATGTTCTTGTCAAATACCTCACGAGCAATCTTGTTGATGAGTGGGTGCGCGATCCAGGTGCCGTCGTGCCCAGCAGTGACTTCGCGGAGCTTATCCGAGCGGACCTTGGCCATGGCGACTTCGTTGGCCTTGGGGTCGTCCTTGATAGGGATCTGGGCCGACATGCCCCCCATAGCCGCGACTTTGCGCCTGAGAGGGTTGAGCAAAAAATAGTGAATAATCACGGAGAAGAACTTACTTGTGGCATGTCTGGATGAGAAGCCTGACGTAGGAGTCCATGAAGCCGACGGTCATGGTAATGTCCTTCCTATCTGGCAAGACGGCACTCCGGTCAGCTCTACGCTTCTTGATGAAGCTGAAGATATAATCCCAACTATAAATACGTCAATTCAACATTCCAAACAAAATATATGCTACACGGACCGTCCACAGTTCAAACCAGAGGAATGGTTCCTCAATTCGAAAAGAATTTCCTCCATCTGGAACGCAGCCGGGAGGGTCTCAATGAGAACGGTTCCACGGATCGTGTTATGCGGCATGCCAATATAGGACTGGGAAAAGACAAAGATATCGTTCCAGAGACGCGCTTCAAGATAGTGTTCCATTTTCGGGAGGTAAAAGTATGGCCCCGACCCGCGCTTCACGAGTTCATGTGCATTGTTATAGAAGTACAAGGCAAAGTCGAAAATGGATCCTGAGACGGGGGCGTTATCGACCGTTACGCGGGGTTCGTCGAGGTGCCATCCTCGAGGACTGAGACATATGAGGTTAGTAGGAAATAAATGGGATGGGAAACAAAGACATACCGAACGATAAGCACAGCGGGATTTTGGGAGAGCTTGTACGACTTTCCACCAACCTCGAAATCAATCTGACGACGAATGGCGTCTCGCAAATTAATCTGGCCATTGACCATATTCGCGAATGTCGGTGCACTCGAATCTATGTGGCATAAAATCAGTCATAAAATTCCAGGACGTTCACCCCATAAAATCCCACCTTCAAAATCAGCCATGAACGTCTTCGCACCGCTGTTCAAAGCGTTAATGACCATCTTCCTGTCTGTCGGACCCGTAATCTCTACGCGGCGGTCCTCAAGTCCAGGAGCAGGCGGTGCGCAATGCCACGAGGCCTCAGCGCGAATATGCGCCGTCTCCGGGGCAAAGTCAAGCGGCACCCCCGCGTCATAGCGACGCTGAGCATCTTCGCGAGCGACGAGCAGGCTCTGTCTCGTCGACTCGAAGGTGCGGTGGAGGGCAGCGAGGAACTTGAGTGCGCCGTCTGTGAATAGCTCTGCTTGAGCCTTTTGAGCGACTTTTGAGTGGATTTGAACACCGGCGACCATGATGAGCTGTGTGTGTGGATTGAGTTATTGAGAGAGAGGAGAGATGACGCTTGCCAATGTCTATTTTGTAGACAACCGAATTGGGTCGGCTCCCCGTGATATCCGCGCAACGGATCACAGCCGGAATCACATGCCTTTGTGCCGACGGACGCTTATTTCTCTTGTGATATCATCGCTATCTTAGCTTTAGAGTTGGACGGAGCGCTACGCAAAAAGTAGCGCTCCGTACCGCTGCCTGTGGTACATTGAGCAAGTTCACCCTTATCTCAAGTATCTTTGTTCTTATCAATGCGTCTCACTGTGCGAACTCGAAGCATCTTGCCAGGACCAATCTTATGAAATCGACGCGCATATCCAATTGGTGGACGGTATCCCGCCCAGAATCTAGGCAGCGCTCTCCCGCTCTCCGTGTCGGCTCATAATTCACAACGAGCCCAAAAGGGGCAAACGTATACGATAGGAGTTATATATAACCGCTACAAACAGTAATCTAGCAAGGTCGTTATAAAATAACAATTACAACGGTTACAACTCCTTCTTGGTCTCGCCAGAAGCAGCGGGCTGCTCGGTGCTCGCCGCCTTCTTTTCCTGATGAGAGGCTACGGAGGACGCTAACAGGCCGATATCAGCATGGATTCATGATGAGACATGAACGTAATCCAAGCTCTCACCTGTCAAATCTTTCACCACGCGCTCTCCGAGAACCACAACCCTTTTACACGCCATTTGCCACACCCCAACACTCACCGAGCCTGTTCAGGGATGAGAGAAGGCTACGTTAGCGCTATGCGATAGGAGATATGACGGGAAGACAACGGGAACAGAACCGAAAGATAACGATAGCATTAAGGATGTATAGGCGCAGCAACACCTCAGACAGGATGATATCCATAAAGAGAGACGGGCCGAACATGAAAGAGAGATAGAAACAGACGCAAGGCCGGAGAACCGGCAGGTCTGAATATCGGAAGCTTCAACCGCAACGCCAAGAAACAAGAGAGAAAGAATCTGTGCTCGCACAACTCAAAATTTCAGGTGAACGGAACTCTAGAGAACCCGCAACACCAATGCCAGACGAAGGAAGGCGAGAGCCATCAACCTACAATAGACAAGGAACGCGAAGGGGCACACAAAAGTGAAAAGAACCACCCAACATCTTTTCACCCAGCCACATGAAGAACAAACACCAAAACAACTGTAGTACCAAACTAAAAAAACTCACCAGCAGGCGCAAACGGGAAAGCCAACCACCACGCGAGTGGCCCAAACCACCCTTCAGGGAGGTAAAACACAGGCTGCCGTCTATACCACCACCCAACGACGAACTGCACCCCCGTAGTCAAGATCCATATCGCGCTGTTAAATTTTAGGGAGAAGGATGATTTTGAGGAGGCGATTTGGGAGTCTACATGTATGTACGTCAGCAAGTGAAAAATCATATACAAATGAATCATGATAGCGGCGGTATGGACAGGATGGAAGAAGAAGAAAGCAGACACTCACTCAACTTCTCCAGGTCCGCCAAGCCTTTATCAACGCTCCTCCTAAGCTTCGCCCACTTTGCGAACTGATCCTGCGCACTCGTCTTCAACAGCTCAGATTTCGTCGCTAATATCTCTGATTTTAACGCTTGTTGCCGGGCGAATGCGGCTGAGCGAGTTAGGCGGAGGTATAGTGCGTATGCCTGTATAAATGAATGAGTGTGTGTTCTGTGAGAAAGGGAAGGGAGGGGGAGGGAGGAAAGAAAAACGCACGAGCTCCAAGAGGACAGTTTGTCCTATCCACGAGACGAGCTGCGTGATGAAGACGAGGAGGAATATCGTTATGAGGAGTGACATGGCGTTCGCTCGTCGCTTTTAGTCTTCTAAAGATGGGTACAATGGATGTCGCGGTAAGGAGTGTTGAACACTCTCAATCCCAAAACTCGAGAATAAAGCTGGGGTTCTGTTCATCGCTTGAGAGTTGTTTGAGCTCGAAGTAGGGTGATGACGTACCAACGTTTGATCGCTTTAAAACGACGTAAGAAGCCCTTCGACCCGTTAAGAAAGGCGGGGCAGGGAGAGGGACGCGTTAAACGTCGAAGGTCGACGACGGTGGTGGTGTTGGTATGCAGAGGCCAGTGAGGACCAAGTAGGCACAGACAACACGTTCATCACCTGGTGTGGTAATTGACGCTCTAACCAGTCATCTTATCAATCACCATCATCATGAACGCAAACGAGACTATCGGTACCTACGACGCCAACAACACCAACAATATGAACGCTACTGGGTTGAATCCCGTAGGAAGTGACCTTCTGCAAGCGATCAGCGGAGGCGGACTTCCTGCACTCAGGGTCGTCGCTGCGTCTGGCGACACCTTTCCACCTCTGAAGGTCGTTGTTGTGGAGGCGTTGGCCATCCTTGAAATTGTTAAGGTGTGTGTTCTTACTACAATCATTCCGTCATGTCTATCTATGCAACAACATTAGAAATTCAAGATGAATAAGAAAGATTGGGCTGCTTTTTCTGAGAGTCTCATTGAGAAGATTGAGGAGATTGTTCGGGCTATATGTCAATACAAGAACAGTCAGGTCCTGTTGACTTTGCAACCCAATTTTGAGAATCTGAAAGGGTGTGTGATTTTGATGGTGTTATTGTACTGCCTGGATTGAAATCATGCACTAGCATTTTGGACCATATGAACGAAGATTTGTTGAAGATCCAACAACAGAGCTTGTGGAGGAGATTTGCAAATCTTAGAAAAGATCAAGAACATATTGCAGATTTTCAGGTTAAACTAAATGCACTTGTGAGCATGTTTTGCATATATTCACCATTTTTTACCATCTCATTTATTTTATTATTCAGCCCAACTTTCAGGCCTGTCTCAGGGTTGAGGAAAGTTCACAAGAAGCAGGTAAGTCATTTTATAACCATTCAACTTGATATTATTTTTTAACTTGCACAGATGCCAAGAGGGATGTAAATCCCATAATGACTGAGCCCATCAGAGATGACATGTCTATTGAGAGAAGAAATGTTGGTGAAAGGCCCACAACTACAGAAAAAGGTATGGACAAACTTGCTTTCTGCTACTACTTTTTGATAACTTTTTATTCTTTCATTAAGTACCACAGGTAAATGTGCTTACTCAGGCACATGATATTCAAATCAGTGATAGTGTTTTCAATTCTGCAAATACTGTGAGTAATTGGCTCATTTAAAATGCCCCTTCTCAAGACTATTGGCATACTATAGATCAATATCAATGACAACAGAGAACTTGAAACTAAGATAGCAGATGCAGCAGAACAGTTAAATGTAAGCCATTTAGAATGGGTAAAATCTGTCACTAGCTTATATCATCATTAAACAATCCAGGTAGAAAAATGGCTGCAAGAGCTCAAAGCTCCACCACATGGCAAAGTAAGAGAGAGATGCATGCCTGGAACTCGGGAGGATGTGCTCACTTTTATCAAAACATGGCTTTATGATCTGGATAAGCCCAATATTTTCTGGCTTTCTGGCAGTCCTGGCTCTGGAAAGACAACAATTGCTTCATCTGTAGTTGCTGATTTTGACTGTTTTTCTGGGCAACTCTTTTTCCATCGTGATGAGGCTGAGCTTCGGGATCCAGACAACTTATGGAGGCGTATTGCTTTGGACCTTTCTCTTGGATCAAATGATCTTGGAAAGTCTATAGCTCAGGCACTGGAGACTCAGAAAGCTAACATTAGAGGCCTTGATATTTCTATGCAATTTGAGCATCTTATTGCCAAGCCTTTACAGAAGGCTTTTGGGACCTCTGTTCAGCCTCTTCTTATTGTTGTTGATGCCCTTGATGAGTGTGATTCATATGAGAAACTCTTACCTTCATTGGTATCCTGGTCTTACCTCCCTAAATCTCTGAAGCTCCTTGTTACAAGCCGCCAGCATCATAAGGTTCAGAGTAGACTAAGATCTGTCAGTGTTCATCATAATCTAAATACTGGACATGGGATCTCTGCTCAAACTTCTGATGACCTTGAAAAATACTTTATAGCAAGATTTTCTGAGGCAACTGGGTTGTTGACAAAGTGGCCTGGTCCAGCCAAAGTATCATTTCTTGTGAGAAAAGCTGCAGGGCTATTTATCTGGGCTAAATCTGCAATGGACTTTATCTTATATAATGGGGGTGATTCTGAAGAGAGGCTAGATATTATTTCTGCTGACTCTGGGGAAGGAATTGATGTGGTTGACAGCTTGTATCATGAGATCATTTCTGTTGCTTTGCAAGGCCTCAGAAAACCAGAGGAAACAGCATTAAGATTGGTTCTGGGTACAATTGTCATTGCAAAGAATCCACTTTGTATCCAAGATCTAAAAGAGCTGCTGGGGGTAAAAGATACATTGCTAGATTCAATAATCAGTCAACTTAGCCCAATTCTATCCATCAGTGATGCAAACTATTTGCGTGTTTGCCACCAGTCAGTTACTGATTTTCTGCTGGATACAAAGAGATCCAAAGATTTTTGGATTGACAGCCAGCTGCACAGTCTTTGTTTTTCTGGGCATTGCATGAAATTTATGAATGCAAAACTGACATTTAATTTCTTTGACCTGAAAACATCACACATTTTAAATAAGGACATACCAGAGCTGAATGATCATATTGAGAGTGTGAAGTCAACAGCTTTATATCATGCAAGTTACTTCTGGGCCAGCTATTTACAAAACAATTGTGATAGAGGATTGCAGCTGGAAGTACAGTCTGCAGTTGAGGAGTTTTTGATGGTTCATCTTTTACATTGGCTTGAGGTTATGAGTTTGATGGGGACAGTAAACCATGCTGCTCAACTACTGTTGTTAGCTGCAAGATGGAGCAGAGTAAGTCATATATACAAAATTTTCTATCAAACTGACATGAAGAAAAAAATGTAGGATCTAAATCCTGATTTATCAGACTTTATAAATGATGCAAACAGATTTGTGATGGAATTTCTTGAACCAATAACTCTTGCAGCCCCACATATATATTTGTCAGCTCTGCCATTTTCTCCATCAGATTCAAAAATATCTATGCATTTTCTGAAGCTTTTCAAAAAGACATTGACTGTGAAGATGGGCAAAATGGAATATTGGTCAGAGAAATGCTTTCTCAGACTTGCAGACCATGATAGTGGTGTTGCTTCAGTTTCGTTTTCTCCTGATGGCAGGCACATTGTCTCTGGATCTTGGGACAAGACAATCAGAGTGTGGGATGCTCAGACAGGTCAGAATGTTATAGATCCTCTTAAAGGCCATGATGATTTGGTTACTTCAGTTGCATTTTCTCTTGTTGGAAGGCACATTGTGTCTGGATCTTATGGCAAGACAATTAGAGTGTGGGATGTTCAGACAGGTCAGACTGTTATAGGTCCTCTCAAAGGCCATGATGATTGGGTTACTTCAGTTTCATATTCTTCTGATGGCAGGCACATTGTCTCTGGATCTCGTGACAAGACAATCAGAGTGTGGGATGCCCAGACAGGGCACAGTGTTATGTATCCTCTGAAAGGCCATGAGAATTGTGTTACCTCAGTTTCATTTTCTCCCAATGGCAGGCACATTGTCTCTGGATCTCGTGATGGGACAATTGGACTGTGGGATGCTCAGACAGGGCAAAGTGTCAGGAATGCTCTCAAAGGCCATGATGATTGGATTACTTCAGTTGCATTTTCTCATGATGGCAGGTGCATAGTTTCTGGATCTTGGGATAAGACAATCAGAGTGTGGGATGCTCAAACAGGTCAGAGTGTTGTAGATCCTCTCAAAGGTCATGATGCTAGTGTTACTTCAGTTGCATTTTCTCATGATGGCAGGCACATTGTCTCTGGATCTGATGACATGACAGTCAGAGTGTGGAATGCTCAGACAGGTCAGAGTGTCATAGAGCCTCTCAAAGGCCATGATCATTGGGTTACTTCAGTTGCATTTTCTCCTGATGGAAAGCACATTGTGTCTGGATCTTATGACAAGACAGTCAGAGTGTGGCATACTCAGACAGGTCAGAGGGCTCCAGATCCTCTTAAAGGCCATGTCAATTATATTACTTCTGCTGCATTTTCTCCTGATGGCAAGCACATTGTCTCTGGATCTGGTGATGGGACAGTCAGAGTGTGGGATGCTCAAACAGGTCAGAGTGTCATGGAACCTCTCAAAGGCCATGATCATTGGGTTACTTCAGTTGCATTTTCTCCTAATGGCAGGCACATCGTGTCTGGATCTTATGATAAGACAATCAGGCTGTGGGATGCTCAAGCAGGTCAGTGTGTTATTGATAGTGTTTGAAAGTCCGGTTAGGTCCGGTTATTGGGTGCCCAGGGGCTCTAACCGAGACCGAGACCGGTTAGCCTTTGTCCCGAAACCTAAAATAACCTAACCGGACCGCAACTAACTGGTTACGGTCGGTTATTTGCAGTTACTAACCGGTTAGGACCGAAAAATAAAGAATCGGTTATAACAAGGCAAATATGCTCATGTGTATCTTGATAGATATTATTTCTGCATATTCTAGCTTTAAAACGAGCCCAAGAACGCTAAAATCGGTGAAGAATTGACATATTTATGCAATTATCCTTGAAAGTCTACACATTTGAGTGATATTTTAGAGATTTGACCGTAACTTAGTCAAATTTTAAGCGTTTTCGACGTTCTCAAGTGCGTTTTGAAGGTGTATAATAGGGCTGGTTATAACCGGTTGTAACCGGTTATTTAACGGTTAGTTAACCGCAAAATAACCGGTTATTCCATTTTCAAAATCAACTAACCCTAACTGCGGTTAGGTTAGTGTTGCGGTTAGGTCCGGTTATTTTCCGGTTATTTTCCGGTTAACTAACCTAACTTTCAAACACTAGTTATTGATCCTCTCACAGGCCATGACAATTGGGTTACTTCAGTTGCATTTTCTCCTGATGGCAGGCACATTATCTCTGGATCTTGTGACAAGACAATCAGAATGTGGGATGCTCAGACAGGGCAGAGTGTTATGAATCCTCTCAAAGGGCATGATCATTATGTGAATTCTGTTGCATTTTCTCCTAATGGCAGACACATTGTCTCTGGATCTCGTGATAAGACAATAATTGTGTGGGATGCTCAGACAGGGCAGAGTGTTATGGATCCTCTCAAAGGCCATGATCATTATGTTACTTCAGTTGCATTTTCTCCTGATGGCAGGCACATTGTTTCTGGATCTTATGACAAGACAGTCAGAGTGTGGGATGCTAAGACAGGTCAAAGTGTTGTAAATCCTCTCAAAGGCCATGACAATTGTGTTACTTCTGCTGCATTTTCTCCTGATGGCAGGCACATTGTATCTGGGTCTAGTGATGGTACAGTCAGAGTGTGGGATGAGAAGACAGGTCAGAGTACTATAGATCCTCTCAAAGGTCATGATGATTGGGTTACTTCAGCTGCATTCTCTCCTGATGGCAGGTACATTGTGTCTGGATCTTATGACAGGACAGTTAGAGTGTGGGATACTCAGACAGGTCAGAAAATTATGGATCCCTTCTCAGTGTCTTGCCTTTCCACTTCAAGCAATCCTGTCGTACCACCAATCTCTCCCATATATTGTGATATTGGAAACAATATTGACATGCCTGATTCTGATAAAACCTTTTTTTATCATTCCTATGATAAACTTTTGTTAAAATTATGTCACCTTGATGGTAATTGGGTCATGCTACAAGATGAAAATTATCTCTTATGGGTGCCAGATCAAAATAAATTAGGTTTGCTCTGGCCAAGTACAACTACTGTCATTGGTTGCACTCCAACTTCACTTCATTTCAAAAAATTTGTTCATGGTATACACTGGAGCCAGTGTTTTTCATCACTACATGATCCCATTCAAGAAGAAACTGGACCTGTTGATTTCATAGCTCTGAATTGAACTTTACAGCTTTTGGAATATTCCATTCTTCAATGTGTTTCATCACCCTATTGTCATTTTATACCACTTACAATATACCTTCTTCATTCATAATATGGCATATAACAAAATTTATCACTGGATCCTTCTCTCCCAGATTCTTAAATTGAACTGATTACTACAATCTCTATAACTGTCAAATTAACAGCAATGAAAAATGAATAGGTAATATCTGACATAAGTCAGGTTATTCACCCAAATTCAAGGGGCCCCCTTAAATTCTGCTAAATTCAAGAACCCAGAGAATCGGCGAGGATCGTGAGGTGATCCAATTCAGTGAGAGATGCAAGGCAAGTGAACACACCTTTAAGCAAAGGACCAAGGTACAGTGATGGCCACTCTGTTTGGTAACCATTAGTGCTGTGATCTAAAGATGCATTGTGTTACACTTCACCTCTTCATTAATTGTTCCATATCCTTTTATCTCCATGCAATCTCCATGAACTCTCCATAAACCTCATTGCAGAGTAAGTATTTAAACCATGGAAATAATAGCGATCTAATTTATGGTTTTCTCAGTCTGTTCAGATTGTGGCTCAGTGGCAAAGCATCAGGTTCAAGGGTTGGCCTGTTGCCAGAGTTGCATGGATGTCTTTTTTTTGGAACAATTCCATGACTCTGACATATGTGACACCTCAAAGCTTTGCCTCTATCACTCCTGACTGACACAGAAGAAGCACCAGGTGAGCTCACAATACCTGATGACAAGCAGCCACTGATAGCATGCCACAGGTTGAACAAGCTCTCAGTGTCAAGCGTGCGGGGCTTGATACAGGAGCTGCTTGCCAACACAACACTGAAAATAAGCACAACTTTGTAGAGACCTTTGAATTGTGGATTGGTCTCAAGAACTATGATCCCAAGAGGGACTAACCTTTCTACGGAACCATCAAGTACATTCAAATATGCATTCCTTTTTTGTTTGTTTTTTACTGACCGTAACAAGGAGCTTGTCAAGAAGCTCGCCAAAGAATACGACACTTTCCTTGCCTCTGAGACCCTCATGAAGCAAATCCCCCAACTATTCAGTCTTGGTCTCTCACAGATACTTTCATTTTCTCCATTTGTTTTCATGTGTGCTGACCATCGCTTTGCAGCTCAAATATTCCCTACTCCCTGTCTCCAATGCCAAAGATCTTAGCAAACAAGATCATGGAAGTTCGCTCTACCATCAAGTTCTAGCTCAAGAAAGCTTTGTGCTTGGACAACCATTGGATGCCTAGGTTCTCAGCAACATCACACTGAGTATGTATCATCTTTCTGTCACCTTGGTTATATGCTCACCATGCTACTAGGCATAAACTTCCTTGTCTCCTTGTTGAAGAAGAACTATTGGATCATCAAGTTGCTCCACATAAAGACCACGATGGGTGACCCTGTTCACCACTATTGATTGATCGGTTTTTGGGAATGGCATTGGAGAAAAGTTCGGAATGATGGTCAATGTCCATGGATAGATCGTACCTACATCAAAAGTTGCACATAGGGATATTGGAGTAGATATGTAGCCGTAAATTAAGATGGTGTATGGCCAACTCCGAACCCTATGCATGCCAGCGTGTGCACTGTATATGTGTCGTGCCCTACTAAAATCTATGTTTCTGTAAATAAAAATATGAAGCACTACTAGAATCAAGCAGGATGTCACTAATTAAATATATTATGGGTTCATAGAAATAAAAGATACTGCTGACAACCATTAGTACAGACTAGCACTGATTGATTGCTTCAGTTGTGTGGTTTGGTGAAGTGTGTGATGTCCAGAAGCTCAGGAAATGGATGTGAAGTGGAACCGAATTGTTCTCCATTAAATTCAGCTTAAATTTTTGTGAATTTAAGCTTTCTCTCACTTTACCCAGCCTGCACCTCCAGGATGTGCCCAAGTAAAAAGAATACTCTTCGGAGTAACCAGTCATGAATAGAAGTCGATTCTCTAAATACATAACTGATCTCATAAAATATTTTTACCAAGCGAGAAAGTTGCAGCCTGTCTCCCTTCTGGACTATTTTGCGCAACCCAGCAGAGATGGTGCCAGAGTTTGGGTGGAGTTTGGAATTTGTTGTTGATGACCTGTTTACTGATCAACAAACACTCCGAGTCAGTACTCAACATTCGCAGCAACCACTTCCCAGAACTCAACATGGACCTCCCTTGGGAGTTAGTGCCAACACATTTTTTAGTGTGTCTTTGTGTGACTAACTGAGTTTCTGGGAACTTTCTGCCCAACATAGAGTCTTTTTTCCTTCCTTCAATGCTTTCCTGGTCTGTATACTATAAATAGGGCAAGACATACAACATCATATGTTCTATGAGTTGTCACACCTAGACATTCAACAACAATGAGTATTCCTGGCCTTTGGAAGGTACTCTCGTTTAATGACTTCAATCTTCCTCAATTGAATATCCTCCTTTTTAGCTCCTCTCAGGAATCAGGAAAGACCAGTCACTTACTGAGCTTGCAGTCTGTGAGGGCTTTGAAATCCAGCAACATAGCTCTGGTGTGCTCATTGTGGGGATAGATGCCAGGTAAGAGTTTCTTGAATACCTATAAAACCATCCTGCTATACTCATTTCCACACAATAGTCCATGGATGTATGCAGTGCAGGCTTCAATGGACCATGCTTGGCGAAAGGGAGCATCTCGAGCTGCACTGGGGAAAAATTCAGAGCTGTGACTGCTCTTTGATCACATGAGTGAGATTGGGCACCTTCCTATCAATGCCGTTTTTGTATTCAATGGTCTGAAATGCCTGTCTGAAAAACAAAGCACTGCCATTGGTGCGGCTGATCATTATATGACACAAGACTCTAAAGTGATCATCAAAGGCTTTGGTCATAGTTTCCACGATCTACACCCATATTTCATGTTGAATGTACATCCACTGACAGAGTGTTAGGCTCCCACAGAGAAAGAAGCAGAGCTAGCCTACCTTGATAGCATTGGTGCAGTTGACATGGTGTGGATGAGTGATAGTGACATTTTTCTCTTTGGCAGCCAACACGTCATCAGGCAGTAAGTCCTGCCCTCTCAATAGTGATGTGTTCCAAGTACTGAGTGCCTTTAGCCCCCAGGATTCTGACGACCGCGACTCTGTTGAGGTGTACATCTTCAAAATGCCTGGAGATGATGCCGCTGCTCAAGTTTTGGATCAAGCTGGCATCCTCTTTCTGGCCATTGTAGTAGGAGGTGATTATAATACTGTAAGCCACTCTATTCCCCTTCATTAGGCTCTCTTCACCTCAATTCAAGCAGGGGCTTCTGGGTTGTGGGATGAAAAAGGCCCTTGCTTTACTATCAACAGATCTCGCTCATTCACTCTATGACATGACAGTCACACTCTCAAAAACTCAGTTGGCTGCATTCCTTACTGGTTGGCATGAGAACCTTTGCAATGTGCTCACCCACAATCTGAACAATGTTCTTGGTGCTTGTTACCCATCATTGGCCACTAAGATCCCAGAAGATTTTCCAGACCCAGATGTTCTATGCCTTTATGCTCATCCTATCACTTCATATACCAAAAAGGATTATAGGCCCAAGACAGCAGAATGGGTGTCAAAGCTACCTGATACCACAGCATTAACCACACTCTGCCGACAGCTTTTCAGATGGGTTGACATCCTCGACAAGTTTTCCAGCTGTGTGTGGGATGGGCAGTGCATCAAAGAATTGGCATTGGTACAGTCTTTCACTTCATCATCACTCATGCTGCCATTCTAGGCACACTGCAGGCCACCTACAACATGGAAAACAGGGCTCAGGCCCAACTCCATTTGGTATATCCACACATCTGCAATCCGAATCAACTCACTGAGCACATTTGCATCATATCACATTGAGGTTTGGATCCCATCTGTTGTCGCCACTGCATTGTTCATGGGAGGGACATCCTGTGGTGCAGGGATGCATGTGTCAACGTACGCATGGGTTCCTGGCCCTATTCTTTGCTTCATACTTCCAGAGCTTGTGGAGGAATATCACCAGACTACATGCAAGCCAGGGCTGGATAAATGCAAGCCATATGTTTCTGTAAGTAATCTACTACTTCTCATTATTTGAAGGCATTGAAAGTTGATATCACCATTAGGTTTTTGATAGTTCCCAGTCAATGCAACATCAATCAGTAGCTGTTGTTGACATTGACCTTGCCTATTTGGATGAGGGAGAAGATGTTGGTTCTGATGTGGATGAGGTTAATGGTTCGGATGAAGATATCATTGAGATTGATGATTCTAGCAGTGACGGGGCAGGGGAGGTTGAGATAATTGATGTTGACCCTGTGGTTATTGACCTTACCAGGGATGACATGTAATAGCTAGCTGTAATCGACTTTGTGAACCCCATGCTCTCGACACCCACAGATATCAATCTAATTCAACCTCTTCATGTTTCACTATGATCGGAGCAAAATATAGTAGTCTTCTACATAATTTACAATGAGTACTCCGACATTGCAGTTGCTTGTCATGTCACCACATCACACTGAGAAGAAGAATAAGGGGGCCAAGATCTCCAAGGCCCCCAAGACCCCCAAACAGCCTACAAAAAAAACCTCCCCCAAGGAAGCATATACATTGATCCAAAAAATGGCAGCCACAGCAAAGAAGAAACATGGCAAAGTGGAAAGCACTACAAATGGATGTGATGGCCATGTTCATCAGGGTATGGAGTGGCTAGCTAGCTTTGCACAGGAGGAACAAGATCACATTGAGGAATGCTGGCAGGCAGAGAATGGGGAGAAGTTATGTGGCGACGACGAAGATGACATGGACAGTGGTGAAATGGACAGTGGTGAAATGGAGGCTGAACAGAAAGAGAATGATGAAGAGGAGAGAAAGGAGGAAGGAGAAGATGTGACTATGGATCCAGGGTTCCTAACTGCGTTTACTGGATGCCCAGTGAAATGTATGCCAGTCACAATCACCATGTTCATGGCATACAAATGCTTCACAGAGGATCTTGGCATCTCAATGGCTCATTCAATTCGTGCTGCATTCATCTTCTATACATGAAAACACAAAGGATGACTAATCAGCTTTAATGTTACATAATAAGTTTACATAAGCGACCACGCTCTTTATGCTGAGCCGCGTGAGTGGCGTTTGCTTGGAAGAATCAGATTCAACATGTGTACCAGGGGGTCCAGGGGGCTTGCCCCTGGCAAGCTGTGACCAGTGCTGGAGGAACGGCCAAGTGCAGTGAGTGCCTTGCTGTAGGCGTGGGTCTAAAGCTTGTACATTACTATGACACAATGTGAGTGTGCACATATTTCTTTGGAGGGTGCAAAAGCTTACATCAATCCAAATAGGGATGACGACACCTATCACAGACATTGGTGTTTTGACAAGGTTAATAAATGATTTGTTGGGAACCCAGTCCAAAGTGCAGCCGTCGAAGACATGCATGATGCCTGCAAAACCAAGGATGGTGAGGCTGACAGAACTCATGCTCAAGCAATGACTTTCAATGACATAGAACGATTGCTCACATATACAATGCATCACTGCCCCAAGAACGATGAGCTACATGATCATGCTTCACTTGGGTTGAGAGCCACGACCTTGTTATTCAATGCTTTCATCACCACTGGATTCAACCTGTGGACATGGTATGTAAACACATCTAACTGAGGCGGCACACGAGACTCACACAGTGTATCTCCCCAGGAACTGCAAACAGTCCAGCTTCAAGCAAAGCACTTTAATTTTTTGCCAGATCCATTGCTGAACAGGTCACCGGCCACTGCTCAGTATATCAAAATCAGAAGAACTGGCAGAGAAAAATGAAGAAGGGCGAGCAAGGGCTTAACGGTGAGTGGACCATTGAGGTAGTAGCTAAATCTCAAATACTTGTGCAGGTCATACATATAACATACACCCACAAGTAAAGACCCCTGCAATTGATATGTATACACATATCATAATGTGGAAGGATTTTTATGAAACTGACCTATTGAAGCACAAGCTACAACTGAATGATTACATCTTTCCCACTCTTGGAACAAGTGGCATCTTGGTTCATCCCAAGCAACCAATAATGGGATCTGTAATTCAAAAGAAGATCACCAAAATGGCAGAAGCTGCTGGAATCAGTGGGGCAAAGCATTTCACCACACATTGCTTTCATTGAGGGGGAGCACAGTACAGGTTCCAATTCGCACTGCTTGGTTAGCACTGGACATTGGCGTGCATTTGATGGTGGGGTGGTTGGGCACAGGGTGAACATGTACATTGATTGACACCATTCAGGGTGACAGTTGCTAATAATATCAATCACTAGCGAGACATGTTAATATGATACCTTCTTGATGAGCTTTACACATACGAAGAAGACCACAGTGATGCACTGAACCCCATCAACATGTTTGGGGGTCAGTCTCACATGGGCAAGGATACCGAGATGGCGCCAATGACTGTTTTTGAGTGCCAGAAGTTGTTCCTGATGCAAGCCGAGCAAACAAAATATCACACAACACCTGGAAAGACTTGAGTCAATGATGACTCAAAGGATATCCACCCAACAAGCAACATCCTCACCAGTCCAAGTTGAATATCCCACATTCCCTTGTCAAGGTTCACTACCTATTCTCATCAGCCAGGTCAGGCCTATGCACCTGTCACTCGTCAAGCTGCAAGCTCATCTGGACTCAGTGCTCCAGACCAGGGGTACACAATATCCCCCCTTCCCCACCATGACCCTTCTTCTACTGGACAGGGCAGGTGGTATACACACCTGATTTGGCCTCGTTTTTCATGCCCATGCAAAGTGGTTTATCGACAACTACAACATACAATAATCAGCCACCAAACAAGCAACTTTTGAGGAAGTGAAAGTGAGTTCACCAGGATGCATTGGGACCTATGCATGTTGTTCCTGAGATTGGGTGAGGATACTCACGAGGTGCATGGGTACAAACTGTAAAGAATTGGGAAGGAGCTGACCTGAGCTGCTACCCTGTTCCACTCAAGGATTGGGCTTGAGAATGGCACATGTCGTCTGGACAAACAACAAAGTATGAACAAAGAAAAATTGTTGCTCTGGAGTTCATTGATATGTATGTTGCTTCATGAAATATTTTTCTGGAGGTATTGAGTACCAAGCTTCTCATATCCAGGTTTGATCGTGATGAGGAAAGGTTCTGCACCGCCTATCCTAAATGCCAGAGAGGATTGGTCCCACTTGCAAAAGTGATTAGGCGGCGCCAACAAGAGGATAGTTTATGAAAGCGGCATTGAAGTAAACACTCTCGCTCTCAGTCTAGTGCTTCTGCATAAATTTACTGCCTACTACACTAAAACCTATTGAGTATATGTCATATTTCTGAATTAATCACAATAAATGTCAGTCTGAGAACCCAATGATTCATACATTAAGAACTTGCCTTCAAAAAACCCACACTGTTGAAGAAATTACCTTCAGGCAGATGCAGCATTCAGCATCATTCTTGTGGATGCCAACAAGCCGATCCCAGAGTATTTTTACACGGCCATCAATTGACAGCAATGTGAAAAATGGGGAGTTCGACATGCACAAGCAGACCCTGGAGAAACCTCCCCTACCGCCACTTGATGAAATCAGAGCAGCAGCAGTAGTTGGGAAACAAGGGGAGTCCAACGACATGTGATGGCAGTCATGAACAAATGTACAGAATAGGCGGGCATACTGCCAATATAAACTGCACCTAGCCAGTGCCAAAGGACAGCAACGGCCATCAGATGAGTCGCCAACTGTGCTGATAAAAGTCCCATCTGGCGGCAGAGAACAAGCAGGAATGTCACCGCCAGCAGTCCTACATGCCTGAGGGGAGCAGACACATTGATTGTGTCTCTGATCCACCTGCCAATGCACCTGAAATTATTTATCAGCATGAAAGACAGAAAAGAATGATGAGAAAGGAAGAACATTACCAACACGAGCACAGCAGCAGAAACACCAGGAAGAAAAAGAAGGGAGCATGTCAAGAATGATTTGACTGAAAAAGACGCCGAGGAGGCACCAGCTCAGGTGGAGGCTGACAGGAAAGCAAGCTGAGCCAGGCGAGGAGGCAGAAAAAGCGAGAGACGTGCACAGTGTGATGTCCACATCATCCAAGGCAGAGACGAAGGAGAGAAAAGGCTGAGAGCAAGGAGGGATAAAAAAGAATAAGGGGGACATGTCTTCTTTTGGTGCAAACAAGGGCAGATGGATTAGATACTATGTATTTGATAAGATAGATTATACAATCAAGGGTCCCCAAGATTTCAGGGACTGACCAGGTGCAACCCTCTGAGACCCTACATGCCACCCTGAGAATGATCAAAAGAGCACAGCATGTCTCAAAGTGGCTCAGATCCCTTAAATTCATGCACATAAGTAAAGATCTCTCATTTAGCAGCAATATTTCTTTTGAAAGTATCTATTTATAGAGCTGGAAGTGCAAATGGACACCCAGTGAGTTTATCCTTGAGCCATGCTTTGAAAGATATCAGTTGATTAATAAATGTAGTTTCAAGAATGAACAGCAAGCTCTTGGCCTCCCCAATTTAATTAATTATCAATTTGAGGGCTTTTTTGATGTGAGGAGGCACCTCAATTGATGCTATACTTAGCGTGGCAAATCTAACCTCATCAGTAATATGTGCTCAAGGTTCGTGAATGTTGCATTTGAAATGAACCAGACAGATGCAAAAAAATGGTGGAGATGCTGGTAAGATAGTAAATCATGCAAGCAAAGCCAGTGACAGAATGCAAACCTGTGCAAGTCTTGACAAAGTCCCTGGCAGTACAGTCCAAGTCCTAAAGCATATATAGATGAGACAGGTAGTCAATATTTAATTGTGATGGAGCTGGATACCACGTGCTTGGCCCTTATGAGCATCAGCAGTACACACTGAAATACTAGATCAATGAATGTATCAAAAGCGAACTGGCAAGCCTGTATCTGCAGAAGTGAAGTTGAAAATTCTTGTGAGAAGAATAAAATGAGCTTGTGCCAGTTGGCAGTTGGTGAAAGCTTGAGTGGTGACAACAGCTAGTATTTGTGATAAGTCGAATAATGAATGACCTGAATCTAACAGTGCATGTGACTGACATCATAAGCTTCAATCTCAAGTTCCTGTCACTTGTGATGTAAATATTTGAAAAATGTATCAATTAAGATAAACTCTGCTTGCATGAGATATGTGGACACAGATGATACATAGTGCAAGATCCTTGATTAATCACTAATGGCAGAGTTGTTTTTGTGTCAAAGGCAAGGCAGTGTATGATGAGAGGGCCATAACTAGACTATAGGCCATCTAACTCATATTTTGGAATTATGAAGTCATCATTTTGAAGCAAGGTACATAGATATGGTATTTCAAATTCATTAAGATTTTAAATAATCAAGTGGGCCATATCTATCAATTTTGGATGTTGACATCTGATAGTTGAGGAATGTTGAGTTATCCTTGCATGAAGGCCCAGTTTGTCAATGGCTATGGCAATCTTGAACACTTTCTGTCTTATCCTCAAGTTAAATGTGGACTGTTGTAAATATTCCTCATAAAGATCACATATATCCAAATCTTCACCATCAACAAGAGGATCAAAAAAGCATCCCTTATAGTAAAGTGGGCAGAAGAAGGCTAGTGTCTTGTTTAAAACTTCCTGCTTAGCAGAAGGCTTTTGTGAAACAAGTTGGATGGCAAAGAACTCTTGAGTGAACTTCTCACAAACCTTTGAACCTTTATGTACCTACAGTTAAAAATTATGTCATGGAAAATAATTAAGTTGGAAAAAATGTACAGGCTATTTTCTCATTTTTATTTTTGCATCAGTGGTGTGATCCCGTAGCAATTTGCATTTAACATGCTGTTGCATTTCATGATAATCACTGAGGGAGTACTGGATGTTGAGTTCTGCATGGTGAAAATCAGTGAATCAACAAGGAACATATGTCTCACAGACATATCAGCAGTGTCTCCTGTGTTGGGATACTCCACAATTGAATTGAGAGGGTGATCAACCAGGGTGTCAAGATAGCTTTGTTGGTTTACTTGATTTTCATGCTGCAAGATTTTTATCTCAGTAAATATGTGAATGGGAGGGTAATGACTGAGATGCCAAGCAGCAGGTAAATGGGCTAGTGAAATGTCTAAGCATGTAATCAAGTGGTCTTGACAAGAACACTAGAATCAGTGTCACTGAGAGATAAGCCTACATGCCAGAGCAACTGCTTTGCCTCACAAAGTGCTGCCTGCTGCTGCACAGAAAGTGACATAGCATGAACAAGTAGTATGTCTTGGGGTCAGCCATCAATATGTAACAAAAAAAAATTGAGTGCACTCTGCTGCTGGCAGGTAAAATCGAGGAAAACATATAAGCTTTATTTCATCGATAAACCAGGAACCAAATAAATATTGAAACTGCTGTCCTTCAATTCATAGCCATTTTCCCAACATTATTGCACTGTAACTTAGTAAGGACCTTTATAAAAGATTGATGTGTTTCAGTAACTTTACCTGCTCTCTGGCCATGTCTGCTCACAAAGAGTTTCATCCAGTTTTTGAGTTTTGTCAGAACCTACAATGACATGGCCCTAATTTGATTGTTTTCTCCCAGGTTGCTGGCCAAATGGTAGAAATTGACTTATGAGTGCTTTATGTGTCACCAGTATTGGTCACCCTGTCATTCCAACAGACATCAAAGACTTTCTCCATGAGCAGGATCTTTTCATTGAGTGCAACTGCCCAATCATGTACTTGACTATGGACCATGAGCTGTGCTCCTCACAAATTGTTGTATGTCAGTTCTCTGGCAAGGTTATTGCCTTTTGCAACAAAAAGGACTCCATTTGTGACATGGCCTGTAAGAACAACATCAGTTTTTGTATCCTTTTTGCTAAGACTTACTGCTATCTCAAGAAGCATGAATCGAGTGTCCACTTATTCTCATCTTGCAATGTGCAGTACATTGCTGGTAGTTAAAATACTTTGGAAAACTCTCACCCAACATTCCAGACACAGCCAATGGCATCTCTCCACAGATGAAAAGTTTGCTTGAGGACTTCTGTAGGGGGGCATAACATGATCAATCACACACCTTTCTTCTTTGGATATCTTGGGGAGCATGTGGTGTTCTATACTGCCAGTGCCTGTCAGCTTGCAGGAGATGTTTCATTCAGGGGAGACCTGTATTAAGCATCATGTTGTGAGTACTTCTTATATCTTGTAAAATAGAAATACTATAACTCTCAAAATATTAGTCATGCTTGAGTTTTGTCACACCAAGATTTACAGGTCCACCTGCTTATGTCGAAATCAATGACATGGATTGCCCATCCTTATCCACACTGCCTCAAATGTGTGAATGGAGGTCTCTGCCTTCCCTGGTATAACCTATATGGAATTCATCTGGTTTGGAATCCACCTGGAATTCCATATGGGAGCCATGGAATGAATGTTGGCTGAAGTTTCTTATTCCATAGATAACATGGAATCCATGTGGAATGATTATGGAATGGTTATAGTCCTGTGCATATCACACCCCCTGAACCATGTCAGAAATTTGTTATATAATCTTTGGACTTTGAAACTGGATCACGTCAATATTGTAGTACTAGTCCCTCATACTCTTGACATGTTTATACTTTTACAGCAGTCCCTGTCACCACAAATTCAATTCAAATTGATTCCAATGATGCAAGTGAGTGATTTACACTATGTAAGGATGACTCCTAAAAATACCCAACTGTCAGATAGAAAATGTCTGACCCCTGATAAATATTTTGGACCAGAGGCAATAAATTGAGAGGTGTATGTGATGTAACAGGCTAAAGTTTCAGGAGTGGGTTTAATGGAGAGGTGATGAGCCATGCAGAAAGAGATGTAGTCATGAGCTCCTATAGCATAGCCTTTCACTGTTGACTTCTTAGTGGCATTGACCTGTAAATGAAGCACACAATTGTCGAGATCAGATAACTTCATTGTTGGGTGAGTCTGGCATGATGGCCTAGAAATGCCCAGGGCACTCAAAAGCACCCCCTCCATCACACTGCAGGAGGTCCTGTGGTGGGAAGAAAAGGTGGACACAGTCAAGAGGGAATTTTGCACAATATTCATCAAGCAAAAGATGTGAGAGGAGGTTGGCTTGAATGTTTTGTTTTCCAGGGATGTGTCGAACATGAAGGTCGATCCCTGATTCAATGATCATGCCCACTATTGCCATCAGTGGGCCATTGTGCAATGCTTCAGAAATGTGTAAGCTGTTGAAGATGGTGACTGAATCCAAGCTGTCAGTATGAATGAGAAGACAGCAAGGAGGTGAAAGAAACAAGGTGACATGGTGGATGGCTGACATGATAGCCACCATTTCCAGGAAGAAAATGTCAATTTTCAAACCAGGGGGACACTCCTTGATCCCGTACATGAAGCCCTGATTTCCAAACATGAAGGACATTCCAAGGGTGAGACTAACATCAGTCCAAACCTCTAAGTCAGCTGCAGTGTCATCCCAGATACTGTCAGGAAGTGAACACCAACTGCTTTTGGAATGATACTGATGAGCCAGGTGAGATCAGAGATGGCCTCTGCATTCAGGTGTATGGTGTTGAGAAGGCGAGATTTACCACTGGTCTTGTGGTACAAAGCTGATAGGGTGGGGTGAGCCCATGGCAGGACAGAGCCAGTTGAGGTGACCGGCCAGCCATTGCCATTCACGAAGGAGGGGCTTGTGGTTAGGTGTGGATAAGAAGACATTGATTTTCTTGATGAGGGAGCTTGGAGGAAGAGAGAGAGAGCCTTGATTAGCACTGACCCAGAAGCTGATTATTTTCAAGACACTTCCATGTTCTTGCTTCTTATCTTTGAAAGGACATTGGATTGCCTCCCAAAACAAGAGTAGTTGAACATGTTGGTGCGGACAAAGCTTCCCATGGTACATGATCAGGTTGTCCTCAAAGTCCCAACCAAAAAAGTCATCCATGTAGACATGAA